TTTATTGTATGATTTTTCTTTATAATCCGCTATAAAAATGTGAACATCCTATATTTTGTGCAGTTTTCCCTGAAGATGACTATCGAAGATAGTCGAAATATCGGAAATAAAATATAAACGATTTTTAAATATAAATAATAAATTAATGTCTTTTTATTTATATTAAAATTTGACCAATTAGCCCGGTAACAAATTATTATGAAAACTTTTCTTTTAAGAATTTAAAATAAATACAATTTATTATGCCGAAGTTAACGGAAAAAAGCAAAATTGTTAGATTTTTAGTAAAAAAAATAGTCTAAACAGGATAAAATGGCTTAATGGTAAGCAGCATATGGAACATATAATGTGCGCAGATGATTTCAATTAATATTTTTCAGATGAAGGTAGTGACAAGGAAGAGGTTGATGATATATTGAGAGATTTAAGAAGGAATATGTTGATAGTTTATTCTAATCTAAAATTCTAATTTGTTTTTATTATTCTTTAAGTCCTAAAAATAATGGATAAAAACAGAAAAGTAGATAGATTAAGTATTTAAAGGATATTAATTTCATTTTTAATATATTGCTTCCTATATACAGTTTTTTCTTACATCTAAAAAGTACATGGTTATACAGTTTGTTGTGATAATTATTTTTCTGGATAGGATAGTTTAAGGAGGTTTTATGATTCTATTTGTGTGTTATTTTTTTAGAATTCTAAGAATTTAAACGATAACCGACCAATTTTAAAATAAAGCATAAATTATTGAACATACTGCCGGCGCGTTTATTAAGGCAAAATCGCTTATTATAACAAAAAAGTCAATATAACATAAGAATTATTTTATTTTTAAAATTTTACATAATTTAATGTATATATGAGTTTTTAAAAAGTTTTATAACACTTTTTTTTAATGAGTTTTAAATAAAAAAAATTAAAATAAGCTATATTCATTCTAATTATTAAATATTTAGTCAAACCTAATGCTTGACTAACGTAGTAACATTAGGCCTTTTCTTTTGTAAGCATGTCGCAAAAGAACAAATAAATAAAGCACCACTACTTTCGATGCTAACTCTGGACAAAATGGAAATTTTGTTAGGCTTATATAAAATTTAAAGTTAAAATTTTGAAAATGTGTGATTCTTAGCAATTATTGGTAAGAATATTATTTTTTATACATAATTGTAAATAAAATATGAATAGAACTGTTGACACAGTTTGACTTTCTCAGCTGTTAAACCATAGTTATCGATATTGATAGTTCTTATGCAGCTTAAAAGACACTCTATACTATCTCTAATCTCTCAATATAAAAACGGCCTATATATTTAGGGTCCAAACCGCTACCGATTCTAGGCTATAATACTTTTATTTCGCGTATTTATTCAGGGTCGCCACTATATAAATAAGTATACCTCGATTTATAATTTATATAATATTGTTAAAAAAATATAACAATTAATTTTTTAATCTATTTGAAATTAATTTGACATTATTTGACATGGAAAAGAAAAGCGGATAGCAAGATCGACAATAAACTACAAAAAATATTAGAAAAAAATAGAAAAGGTCTATCCAAATAATTCGACACAAATGTGGGATATGATTTCTTGGTTGAAGAAATGCAAAAAATTGTTTTGGGGAATGGATTTTCAGTATTAACCAAATTGAAGATGAGTAAAAAAAGTTTATAAAAAAAACGTTCAAAAAACTCAATATATAAACATTTGAAACGAAAAAAGATAGTATGAAAACAATATGTATGAAAATGAAAAGAAGATCATGGGTGTATGATATATAAGTATTAGAGATACCCACATCAAAAGTCTGAAGCACACCTAGTTACAGTTACAGTATATATGTATATATATTTTAAGATCATAGTACTTTGATCTATTATTCGTTTTTTAAAATGTTTCTACAATTCATTTATTTTACATTCCCGTATGACAAATAAAATACCAATTTTGCTAAATAAACAAATGTGTTTACTAACAGCACCAAAAATGATAGAATAATTGGCGAACAAAAATTCGTTATGTTCAAAAATTTTAAAGGAGAACCTTTATAAATATTTAATAATGCGATTAAGTTAAAAAATAATGCGAGATTAAATTGTTTAGTACTATTCAATTCAATTATAAAAACTTATCGCAATTCTAATATAAATAAAACTGTTAATACAAGTAACAGTACAGCAGTGACAGTAGTACAGTACAGTTCTTATAAGCAGTAGAATAGGTACTCCATACAATTACTGCTGTCTTAACTGTTTATTAATGGAGGAAAAAAAATAATACTTGTCTACTATGGTACTGTTCGGTACTCGCTAAAAAGTAATTATGCTCCCTTAGAGTTTCATTGTCTAAGCAATAACTCCAAAACAGTGTCCTAGTCCAAAATAAAAAAATTTGTTAATAAAATTTTAAGTCAATAAGCCTGCAATTTGTAGTAGTTTAACGCCTCGGATTCTAGAAAACAAGCTAAACATAAAATCATTAGGAGACTCAAACAAATTAAATAGGAGGTGATATTGTAGCGGAGTTGTATGGGAAAAGGAATAGTTCGGAATATGTTAATTGAACCTAGTCTGAATCCAGGTTCAAGCCCTAGCCATAAATGGATAGGGCTTATAAAAGATAAGCGAACAGATAAATGATGTCATAGGGGGGTAGAGCAGGCGTTATTTAAATAATAGATATTTAGACCTAAGACCTTATTTATGAAAATTCAACATTGACGATGGTTTCATCGAACCCTAACTGAGCTTAAAAAGGGAGCTTGTGCCTTTTGCTCAATATTTTCCTCAAATATTAGAAAATGGGGGAAAAATTATCATCAATAATATTGTAAAAGGTGTTGAAGGTCGGTTTTACAAATAGGATCCAAAAACAATGCAACAGTCGATGATATGGCATACTAAACGTACTAATCCGTTTGTTAAAGTCAGGAAATAGAAGTCAACAACAAAAATAATGATCTCATTTTACCAGAGAAAAAATTGTAGATGCTCTTTCTCTGACTGGACTGGACGAACGGTAACTGCTAAATGATATGGGTTGATGATTTCTGTATCACGATAATACGTAAGGTACGATTTCAGATTGCTTTTAGAAGTAATTAAAAATTTGAACGCTTTCGACAATAATAGGAAGATAATTAGTGTTGTTAATCTGCACTCTCCATGTCTCAAACCTCCAAAAAACAATTTTTACAACTGTTTTAGAAAGTGGATATCTCGATTTAAAAAAATGTATGGAAATTAATGAAAATTATACTGTAAAAATAAAAAACAAAATTAAAATATTTTTTTTAACCAACTAAAGAAATTTTTGTAAGTTCCCTCGTGTGTATGTTGTATTTATGGTTATTTATCAAACAAAATATTTTTACAACTGTTTTATTATTGTATGTACAAATGTGGCTAATACTATTTTTAAAATGATTTAATTAAAATTAAGTAGTTAAATTCTAGCGAATTTAATAAACAAACAGTGGAACACACTAACTCAATTTTAAATTAAGAATTTAAATAAATTAATTATTAAAAAATTATTTTAAATACAGTACGCGCTCAGTTATGTGAACTAATTCAGTCAGAGCAAGTTCACATAATCGATTCCTTTCTCGTTTATCATGTTTATCATTCATTCGCCGAACCACAGCTACTACGAGTCCAACCATAATTGGTCAGCACAGCCGAAGCTGCGGGCCACTGATCCCCGTGGTACCAGATTTACACCTCTGGTAAAGTGTACCAAGTCGAGCATTTCTACCATGCACACTTCCTGCACAAGTGTCGGCGTGGCATCGGGATGTTATTCGCTTCTTACAACAGGCATCCCTACCGCGGGAATATTCTAACCCATTTACCCCAGATGGAAATTAATTCAGTATGGGTGTACTATAAAATCTGTTGTCAAATCGGTGTGTCTGAGAAATGAAATCTGCAGAGAATTTATCTTTTATTGACAGTTTCAAATTTAGTCACCAAAAGAATTTCGGCTCTGCTGTTCCTTTTTTCTTTTTTACACTTTTTTCGTAAATTTCTTGAAAATGTTTACATGTATGTAATAAACGTTTTTTTGCATTTACCGTAATGAATGTGTTGCTATTTATTATATTATATTATATGGTGGGACGTTGGGACAGCGCACTGTCCAACAAGTGGTTCCACTGAGTTAAAGGATTAGTCGAAGTAGACCACGAAACCACTTGGCTCCTTTTTCGTCCTTCGATTCTTGGATGTTGTTATTGAGTTAAAGCTGGCTTAAGTTTCCTACGAAGTCATCACCAACCCAATGGTGTCCCAAGACAGTCTTTCTCCTACTTGCCAGTGCTGGACATTGGCACAATATATGCACCGCTGTCTCCTTTTTTTCTAGACATAGTCTGCAAGTGTCTTCCTCAGCAAGAGTTATCTTTTTGAGGTAATACTTGAAGTTGCCATGTCCAGTAATTAGTGAGGTCAACCAGCTTAGAGTGCTCCGCGAATAACTAAGCACTTTTATCGCTTCCCTGGCCCATGGTTTCGGCAACATGAGTTTGGTCTGTCTACAAGTGCACAACTCTCTCCAATCTATTAAGATGAAGTGAGGTTATCTACTTATAGACATAGACTGCCATCATGTTGTAACTCAATGGTATTCTGGGCTCTGGGCCACAGAAATTATGGCTTGATCCTTGCTTTGCAAGTTCATCTGCCTTCTCGGTTTGCTCAATACCGATGTGTCCTTTAACCCACATGACCGTCACTTCATTTCCATGAGCACATTCCATGAGCTTCGTTACACATTCTTGAACTAAGCTGTTAGCTATGTATGTCTTTTGGATGCTTTTGATAACTGCTTGATTGTCCAACGATATTAGAATCTTTTTCTGATACACCTGACAATCCAATAGGTGATCCAGAGCATGTGAGACCGCCATAAGTTCCGCCTGATAGACGGAGACATATATTCCTAGATGTGTTGCAATTAGTTTCATTCTCTACACAAAATACATACTGAAATATGCGGGTAACAGGACAATTAGTTTTGAGTTCAACGTTCAGTGGGTACTTTCGGATAACACTTATCAACTTAAGCTCTGGTTTGAATGGTTTAGTATATGTTTTTTAAGTTTAGGAAGACAAAAATCATTTCATTTCATATTTTCTAAGCAATATACAAACTTTTTGCGTGTGTTGTGTGTATACAAAATAAGCTCTACTGAAACTGCCTTAATAACAACTAAAACTTCGATTTGGGACCATATTATACAGATAGTTATATGACGAACAGTAAAGCCTATTTTGGCCGTACTAAAAAGCATCTTATGCAGAAATTCATATAATAATTGTCATTTTCATACTTTTACTTATATTTTGTTTCTTCTTGGTTGTCTGAATGCACACCCATTTAAGCCTGATAAGTTCAAGGCCTGACATTTCTTACTGTGCAGTACGGTTTTGACCAATGTGAAAGGACACAGAAGGCTTCGTCTCTATGATCAAAATTGAAATCGATATATCTCTCATTCTTGATTTTTTAAATTAGTTTGTAAACAACAATAATTTCTCATTTGACATGATCATGACTGTATGTATAACATCTGCTTTTAAGTGAAAAACTATAACCTTTCTCACTTAGCAATAGACAATTCTAACGAGACTCGAATATATATATTAATATTTATTTATATTTATACATGTAAGTCCGACGCGGATACATATATAGGTATAAATGTTAGCAAAAAAATAGATCATATCTTTTTATATTAATACAATGTCTTCTATTTTTAGAAAATGCATTAATTTAAAAATGGACGTATTAAATGAAATTAATTCAATTAAAGAAAATCGTTTACTTGCTGAATTTGTTTTGCAAGGAACTGATAATTCATTGGTATTTTCAACTGAGAGCGAAAGTATTTTTGAAAAAATTGAGAAAGGATCACAGCTTGAGTTAGAATATGAATCTGAGGATGTGATGGAGGAGAGTTCATCAGAGGAAACCTATCTAGATAATATAAACGATTTTGATGTGGTCGAAGTAATTTCCTGTGATACAGAAAGCGATGGCGAACACAATGAGAGCCACAGCTTGCTTCCAAGCACAAGTAATATTGGAATTAAGATTGAAGTATCCAACATAAAGACCGAAACGATAAAAGAAGAGAACGAAAATGAATTTTTGTCCATAGATCAGGAGAAAGAGGACTTTGATTCTTGGAATGGAGACTTGGATTTGTCAAATGTAATGAACGAACATAACTATACAACACAAAATCATACTGACAAATTAAAGCAAAATTTAATAAGACATATAATAAATAGTTCAAACAATAAAAATACCGATACTGGCTCGTTTTATAATGCGTGTTCTAGTTCAAGTAACAATATGGCTGATGTACAAGTTAATGATTTTGTGGAATATATAATGGATCGGATAAATTCATTTCAGACTGAACGTAATAAAGAGCTCGAAAAAATTTTAACAGAACGACGAGATTTGTTTGTACAAAGTATTATGGATGCAGTAGATGAGGAAGATCGCAATGAATTTGGAAACTATAACAGTGAAACGTCTCGAAAGATTGTGGAAAAAGAACACACTAAATCACCTAAGGTCAAAACGGTAGAAGCTGGTACAAACACAATTGACACGGATAAAATTGATATTGACAAAAAAATACAGGATCCTTTACCTACAACAGAAGTTAAACCATTAGGTGAAGACAAATACACGGAAACTGATGGAGACTACATACTAGAAAAATTGATGGAAACATCTAAGATTTTAGAAAGTTCGAAACCCGTTCAATGTGATAAGGAAACTCAATCAGAAATAATAAGTGAGTCACCTAAAATAAATTGTTCTGAACCCATGGAGTATTTAGAGGCGTTCGATTGGAATGAACCTAATGAAGAGTCATTGACTGAAGAAGAATCAAACTTAAAGAAATTAGCCACTTTGGCTAAAAACATGTATGATCGGTGCATATCATTAAAGCAGGAAAAGGAAAAAGATGGTTTTAATGTTAAAGATTTAATAAAGGAACAATTTTATAAGCTTAAAGAATTGGCTCAGTATAATTTTGATAATGTTGAAAAATCTACACAAACAGAACCAAACATGTCCAGGCGTAAATTAAAAAAATTGAAAAGAAAGTTGTTAGCTTCATCAGGGTCTTCTTCTGAATCATCAAGTGACGAATCGATGTTGGATTTCATAAAAGAAAACAATACCGAAAATATTAGGAAAAATCATGTGCATAGTTCAATTGAAGACTTTAAAAGATTGGATGACTATAACGGTAAGTTTTATTTTACCTGTCATTGTTATGTCAAAAATAATAATTTTTGGTTTTTTTTTTTTTTTTTTTTAAATTAGATACGTCAAATTTGAACATTACGTCTAGTCAGAAGAAAAAAACAAACAGCTATTTAAGTAACGAAAGTTTGAATAAAGAAAAGCAAGAAGTGGAACCGGCAGAGCGTAAGGATAGTCAAGTGTCGAGCAAGAGTAATGAGAAAGGCGCACAAGAGACTAAGAAGTAAATTATTTTAAAAATAAAAGAAAAATTTTTTATTTAAAATTAACGAACATTACATTAACTTTTACAGAGTAGACAATAAGGTGGATAAGAACAGTGAGATTGAAAAGTATGTAAAATCTTGTTAGAATTAACGAATTCTTATCAGTATAATTTAATAATGAAATAATTTTTAGATTACTGAATTTGGATAACATCAGAAAGCGTCCTCAGCAAAATTTGAAAACGAAACCGAAGAAAATAAAAGAGAAACCATTGAAATCAAAGAGTCATGTTTTAGACTTTTTAGATAATGATTTATCGAAAATATCTGTTAGCGATGAAAGTAATTCTGAAGTGAGTATGTACAAACCAATTGATATACCTACATAGATATATCAAGATGCGCTAAACTATTTAGTTATTAAACTATTATTTAGTTATTAATGAGTTAAGTTCATTACTTTGTTTATGTATTTAAAATTTTCATTAAATTTAGTGAAAAACTGTTCGCATAGTCAAATTCAAATGCTCCTAAACATATAGTTAAAAACTATGGATGCCTCACAGAATCTATTTAAATATGAAGTGTAGGATGTTGTTGTGGTTGCTTGAGTTAGTGCTATTGCACACTTTCACTCTTTTGTAGCTGGGGGGCTTATCCCTGCCCCACACTAGACTTTATCTATGCAGGAATTCACATCGTTTATTTATCTTTCAGCATATTTTCCTGTGGGTTCAGAGGTGGACTTGAGGTTAGTTAGAGCGGGGTTGGGCAGCATATTAACTTTTGTGAATAATTTTAGGGCACTGTCCCTGAAATATTTTTTCACTGAGTTGATTCTTAGATTTCTGTGTATGTCTGTTGTTCTAATATATCCTGAAATCTTAAATAGTCTTTCTGTATCCAGATTTTGTGCTATCTGTAATTGCTTTATGGAAGTGTTTGAGGCTTTGCTGTATGTTACACATCCGTACAGTAGTGCTGTAGTGTAGGATGTACTAAAATAAACTTATCTAGTTTATTTTAATATAGCACAAAGACATTTACAAAACTATTAATAAAGAGGTTTTTTCGAACAGTAGTGAATAGCGAACTATAACTTAAAAAATTATTAATTAAAAAAATGTATCAACTAAACCAATTAACAAAATATATAAATTATAACTAGAGATTTTTGTAGTTAGATATCAATGAGGAAAGAATAATGTATATACTTTATTTTCGCATGTGAATGCTTTACTATATATCTAATATAAACAAAAAGAATGTATAAATAATACAATATATTTTCTGGTTTCGAAACCGGTTCTGACAGTTGAGTATTGCTCTCAGCTTCCGTTGAAATTTTAACATTTTTTTGGCTTTAAACAGCAATTTATAATTGATGAACTCTTCCCTTATATGTAGGAATATCGTTTAATCAACTATCCTCTAACTGCTCTCTTAAAACTTCTCATTTGATTCCCATCAGTTTAAACATTTGGTGAATTTAATCTTATAATGTAGTGAGGATGCCTTCAATGATTTGAAGTAATATGTATACATTATTATAATCTAGTTCATGAGTATAACTGGGCATATTAGTCCAAATGTTAATAGGAGTGTCTCTTTATAATTAATTAAAAACTAATTATCAAAAACTTTTTTTATTTTAGGATGACAGTGAAGAGAAATTAACTGAAAAGCAATATCTAGTGCGGTACAATGAAAAATTAAAGAATCAGTTTTTGAATGAATCAAGTGATGATGATGAGGAATTGGATAGCACTGCAAATGACTTATTGGAAAATTTATCTAATATTGATGGTGGGCATTCTCCATTAATAGATAAATTCTTAGAAACGTTTAATGCTGATAGTGAATTTGATGAAATCGACGAAGACAAAGTTGAAGAAGATAATATTGATACTGACATTGCAGAGTCTAATGCTAATAAATCAGAAATTTCAGTAACTTCTGTGAAAAATACTACGCCTGAGAGTAAATCAAATAAAAGTATAGATGATGATAACAATAATAAAAGTATTGCACCAACACCAGATAACTCAGATTGTGAACTTTTGAATTGTAGTCTACCAGAAGAGAAGCGTACACAAAATAAATCACTTGAAAAGTTAATTAAGGAGGCTGATCGGCGTAAAAAATTGAAAAAAATTGATGAAGATCTAATAAGTTTGAGTTCTGATTCTAGCAGTTTAATTGATAATGTAGTGGAAGTTGAAGGCACTTCACGTATTATTAAGCCGATGCTTAGGCAAGATCAGTTGGCAATTGAAACACGAAAAGCTCAAAAACGGGAAAACGAACGTATACGTAGACTAGAGAAGAATAAGGCAATAATGGAGAAGGCAATCAAGAAACGCGAAAAATCTAATAAATGTTCAACAGATTTAATATTAGATTATTTAGAAGAGACTGACACATTTGTGAAGGTGCATCCAGAAATTGTGAAAAATCTTAAACCGCATCAAATTGAAGGTATAAAATTTATGTATGACACTGTGTACGGCGGGATTGAGAGGAACAAAAAAAATTCTGGTTCAGGTTGTATTTTAGCACATTGCATGGGCCTAGGAAAAACTTTGCAGGCAAGTATTACGTGAATAGTGACTTTTTTAAATTTTGCAACTTTGTTATTATGACAACTATGGTTTTTTCTTTTTTAGTTAATTGCCCTCTTGCACACTCTTATATCATATAAGGAATTACAAACAAGAAAAATACTTGTTTTATGTCCGAAAAGTACAGTCATGAATTGGGATGATGAACTGAAGCGTTGGCTATTACGCCCATTAAATGCAAAGAATTTGAAGGTGTTCAAATTCAATGATCAATCGTAAGTACTATCTTGAATATACTTTTATATACTAAATAAGTTTTGAATACTTTGTAAGTCAGACTTTAAACCTAAATTATTATACTCGAATTGTTTATATTATTTTTATTTTTGTTGTTACCAGTTCTGGGACTCCATCAATTCTGGGAGTTTCAACAAGCAGAAAGCTTTTGATAATTATAGTGTTAGTAGCAAAGGGGGGAATAGTATAGGCATAAATAATGAATAAATAATGAATTAAACACACCATTCAATGGCAGATACTTTTAATAGTATATTATTATGTTAATATCAATATCCGAAACCTTATAACGTTGGCTGTCCTTAATTTTATACGGTTATTGTGATATATAATCTCATTCATACTATAAGAATTCATATCTCTCTTTGAAAATTTTATATATATGCTACTTTTATATATGTAGCATATATGTTCATATATCTGATTTGTTCTAAAGTATGCTATATACATAGCATTCCTGTTTTACTTACTTTTAGCATACATTTATTATATGTACATGCATGGCTATGGCTATATATACTGTACTTTAAACTCTAAAAGTTCAATAATAACTTATTACACTTGCAATAATTTATTTAAAATATATTTTAGCGATATTTGTGAAAAGATCAACATTATAAAGGAATGGTCTGAGACTGAGTATCCAAAAGCTGGCTGCTTACTTCTAGGATACGAAGCTTTTAGAACTCTGGTCTTCTATCATTCATATAAGAAGCGCAGTAATTATAATCCAGAGCGTTTGGAAGAAATCAAAATCAGCATTGAAAAATATTTATTGCAAGCTGGTAAGTTATAATACTTAAAACATATATGATGTATATAATAATAATTTTACTGATTTCAGGCACCGATTTGGTTGTGTGTGACGAGGGTCATATCATTAAAAATAATAAGTCAGCAACTAGCTTAGCTGTGGCTAAAATAATTACACGTAAACGTATCGTGTTGACAGGAACACCAATTCAAAATAACTTGAAAGAATGTACGGAACTAAACGCATTACTAATTTATCGCCAATAATAATATAAATTTTGCTTTTTGTTTTAAGATTATAGCATGGTTAATTTTATTAAACCACATTATCTGGGTACTGAACGCGAATTTGGCAATCTGTATGCTAATCCCATTAAGAATGGACA